GCACTGGACTCCGGCCCGTCGCGGCGGTCGTAAAAATGCCTGCGCTCTGACTGTTGGCTCGAGCCCGAGAAAACGACATATCAAACGCAGGTGTTGTAGGGGAAGTCATCGCCGTGGCAGACGTGTCAGCGTGTGCATTCATTATCATCCTCTCCTCTTCCTGCTCCTTCTCCCCCCCCCGTCTCTCTCTCTCTATATATATATTCTCTCTCTGTCTTTTTCACTTACATTTTGTGAATAAAAAAGTAAATAAGAAGTGACTTCCATCAATAATTAATGAACGAAAATTTCGGAATCCGACATCTGGGGGTTCCTTGGCGCCACGCTGTCTGGCGACGCTCGCTGCCAAGGGGTTTCATTTTATTTATTTATCAGTATTTGTTTATTTTTCTTTTTTTCAGCATTGTAGTTGTGACAGAGAGATCGGGGCATGTACATGACTTGTAGATGAAGTCTCTCTCTCTCTCACACTCTCTTTTTCTCGGTCTCATAGCTAAGCCAATCTTTACCAAGCCTAGCCTAACCTAACTTACCCTATCCTTTTCTGCCCTAGCTTGACCCTTAGCCAAGCTTAACCTAACTTGACTTAGCATAGCCTAACCTAGACTAGCCAATTATAGACTAAGCAAATATAATCACCATGTAATTATTACTTTCATCATTATCATTATCATCATCGTCATCATTATTAAAACCATCATCAGCCTCTCTGTCTTTCTGTCTGTCCGTCTATCCGTCTGTCTTTCTATTTGTATCTGTCTAATCGTTTGTCTATCTATCTGTGTCTATCTATCTATCCGTCTTCTGCTTCTGTGTATAGATTATTTACTTCAAAATCCCGACACTTGAACAAAATAGCGGACGGTGACTGAATGAATGACGTTTTATGCAAAAGTATGTCGGTAACACCTGTCGCGTTATCACATTTCATTGTTTACACGCATGAAGCGACGAGCTACCTATTCTCAAGACACGTAATCAATGTCTAAATCCCATTGCCAGCATCATTATGCATCAGCCTTAGAAACACAAAACGTCATTGGTGCTATGGATATGAACCAGCGCTTGTCAGTAGAAGTCAAGCTTAGCATGAAAATGCAGGAATAAACATGAGTTCCGAAACATAAGAAGAAAGGGAGGGGGGGGGGGAGAGGGAGAAGATAGAGGGGAAGAGAGAGAGCGAGAGAGAGAGAGAGAGAGAGAGAGAGATATTAAAAAATAGGAGAAAAATAGGAAAAAATTGTCATCAAGTCCTCACAAGCAACTGTCAATAATATCAATACTTATCAGGGCTTAGGCAGCCTACTCAATAATCCATTTTGTGATTTGATGGACACATTAAAGGGTCTAGGATTCATACAATATACCGGAAGGCGTGTTCTTTTGCCAGTACCTAGGGGCAATGTGCCTTTTGCTTTTTGAGTTAAGATGTAAAACTAAACATCTACTCATTGGTTATGGTTTCTGTTGCGTTTGTATATTTGGAACATCTGCTATAGTGTTTAGAGAATTATTATTGGTTTTGCTTTTTTTTTTCAACAATTCATATCATACCAACAGGGGAGCAAAAACAGACACGTGGTATTTTACAGACATCTTTATTCAAACGCCACTGACTGTACACATATATCTTGGGATAAGGTTGGGGGTTCTCCAGTTCGCCCCCCCCTCCTCCCCGCTGGCCGCCTACCGTCCGTACGAGTAAGGGCGTCCGAAGGAGGCGCCGCCGAGTCCCAGTCCACCAGAACCCCCGAAGGAGCCGCCACCGAAGCCGACGGAAGGGCGCGCGAAGGAGCCTCCTCCGAAGCCCACAGAAGGGCGCGCGAAGGAGCCTCCGCCGAAGCCGACGGAAGGGCGCGCGAAGGAGCCTCCTCCGAAGCCGACGGAAGGGCGCACGAAGGAGCCTCCTCCGAAGCCGACGGAAGGGCGCACGAAGGAGCCTCCGCCGAAGCCGCCGCCGTAGCTTCCGCCGGCAGACACGACGTGCACCATCGCCACCGCCAGCACCTGCGGGAGGAACGTCCGTCTCCTTCAGCGACTCCTCAGATACCCTCTGGGGGCGCTCAGAACATGCTCATGGCATGGGCAGAAGGGGTACGTATGACGTGGAACACAAGGGACACTTATAACATGGAACAGAAGGGGTACTTATAAACTGCAGTAGAAGGGGACAGAAGAGATACTTATAACGGGAGGGACACTTAGAACACGTGAAAAGACCGATCCTCACAACCTCACAAGGAAGGGCTTTACTCACAACTGCGTGAAGACCAATCATGTTGCAAGGCTGTTGCAATCCGCTGCGGAGGTAGCCGAAGGGGGATCTGGCACAGGTCTTCGGCGCTTGTCTTTTATACGGATCCCGGGCGCTCCTTGCCCTTCCAGCCGACGCAAGAAAGGCCGTAAAAAACGCGAAGAACTTGCACAGAACAAGAACAGGAAAACCGGAAAAATCTCACATGTTGTTTATTGTTTTATTTTATTTTTTCATTCAACTTAG